AAAGTTGTCCAAAAACTGAGACCTAGAGCAAGTCTATGACTTAAAAGGTTGAGAAAATATGCATTTCCAATGTGGGCCATTCTTTCATGTAAAAACCAGGTGGTCGGCTTTATTTTTATGAGCAGTGTATGTGCAGAGAAACACAAATTCAGTGAAGAAAGAACAAAACTAGTCAATATTATTAATGCGAAAGATAAAGAAATGATCTAACTCAAGGATCTACTCGACTGGAATTGTAGGACAACTAAAGATGCTTCCATCCAATCATTTTTTTGAAACCAGGGTTCGCAACAGCAGAGGTCATATAAACCCTCAGGGTGCTGGTGTTTTTGAAAAAAAAGCACATTTGTAAGTATGTCGGGTTCGAATGCAGGGGCGCTGGATTCGAACCCGGGACCTTTACCTTACAGCAATGAGCGCCATGTCAACGCCTACCAATCATTTGTTCCATCACAAATTTGTACCGCGTCAACTCAGTCAAATTTAAGCTCTTTTAATTCGGGCCACTGACTAGATTAAACTCCTTCATGGCCAAATCTCACCATTTTTAAAGCAATTGGAGATACAACAACCTTATAATGGCCAATTACTGTCCGAAATAAGGAAACTATCTGAAAAGGGATCCTTACGATTCGATGGGAATTTTACAAATTTAATGTTATTATTATTCAATTAATTAATCTTTATGTAAGGCAATGGTTGAGATAAAAAAGACAGTGTCACGACCGGGTTTCGAACCCACGACCTTCGGCTAAATATGCCGTTGCTCTAAAGAGATTTAACCACATACTCACCCTACCTTTATAATTTCTAAGTATATTTTTTTGTCATTTTAACCTCGTCGCTCGTATTGTAATTTAAGTTTTACGAGGCCCAAATTTCATCCTTAATTCTTACTGTATACAACTTATACAACAAAGTACAATATTTCTTGTAACATCACGAGGTATTTATTTATGGCGATATTCTGGCCGCACAAGGTTTAAGTTGATGACTTGGTCTCCAAGGAAAACTATCTTAATTAGAAATTACGCACTTGTCATATAATTGATTGAGAAAATGATTTCTTTCGCTAATACTTTCCGAAATTAATTTTAATATGGCAGAACTGCAGAAGGGTCTTTTGCCATATAAAGTTTACTATTACTAGTTATTTTGAAAACTATACGATATTTAATGAAATTGTTCTTAAAGAAAAAAGTCTAAAAATTAACTTGAATCTGCGAGTCTAATTTGGCTTTTTCTATTAAACTCCTCGTTTATTTGAATTTTTGTCAGCTCGACTTCGGAAGAGATTCACAAATATAAATGTACCGCTTAACTAATTCGGCAAAAATAGAAATCGCTAACATAACTCAAGTTCAAATGAATGGGAAACTAAAACTGCGATTTGACAAGAATATTCGTTGGCCTGTCGTGGGATATTTTAAATTAATAGCTTATTTCTGCTTTCCTTTGCCTTCTTTGCATTCCAGGAACAAATATACACTAAAACCTGGCACAACCACTTCATCGTCCATTAGGTAAAGATATTCAATTCCTTTTACCAAAACAATTGAATTTTTTTTTAGTAATACCAATTTAATAATTGTGCTGTCCTATCTTGCCAACAAAACAAAATTAATTAATTTGATGGTAAGGTGTATCACAAAGTGCAATATTTTATCATAGAAACATGTCATGAGTTATAACTTATGGTAACGTCTTTGCCACGACCCAAAGAATCACCAGACATTTTTACCAGTGACTTTTTTTCCTTTTAGAGCTTGGTCGCGCTCATTTCGGTCTGTCAGACCTGTTTCGTTTGTGTTTGTTCTACAAAAACAATGGAGAACCTAGTTACATGTTCATCACCCAGCAGACCTAAAGAAGAAATCTATTGTTTTAAAATTTATTTTTACTATTTTGACAACCAAAAAGAACAATTTAAAAATCAATATAGCAATGATAAGATCAAACCAACCTTCTTACTGTTTATTGGTTCAAAATATATGTCTCTAAGTATATTTCATAAATACATTGAATAGATAATCCAATTTATAATATACAAGCACACGAAGAATGTCCGGTCTTTGTTATAAATAGTAACATAAAAAAAAGGTCAGCTTCCATGAAATAAATGGATGAAACGCTGCGAATAACTAGCGATTTAAAAATTGGGTTTTGTGGAATTATCCTAGAAAACTAAGTGAATTTGAACAAAACTGAATTATGAAAGAAGGCAACTTTAGAAATTAGATCGATTAGACCTAATTTTACCCAAACAATCTGAGTCAATTTAATTCTCAAGTTGATCAATATTTCTTCAACGAGAAAACATTCATCTCCTCCCTAAACCTCAGCCTAATAATTTATCTAGTTAGAAATCTATTCATGGCGCATCTAGTGATTTATCTATAAACAGTTACAAACCTTTACTAAACCTGAACTAATCGCTCACTAGGAAATTAACTAAATATTTGCCTTACCGTATTTATTTTTTAAGCCAATAAACACCACTGGGATTTGTGTCAATAACAGACGACAAATAAAACTATCTAATTTACGTAATAAATAGTAGGCACAAGAAACTTTCATTTTCGCCTGTCAAAAACATTATTACAAGAGTAAAATTATTAAAATTTGAGGGGGGTTTACATTAAAAAGTGGTTAAATATTTTTAAGTTTTAAAGGGGCACCCGACAGCTTGGTCATTTCAGCCCCGAGCGAATGCTTAATATTACAACACACATTGCATATGCATTCTCACAAATACATACATTCACACCTATAGACATTGCATTCATTCTATTTGGTAGATGGAGTACTCATTATTCCTCCTTCGACCTGCATACAATAACTAACTAATTTAATTGGGGTCGAAGGGGTACTTTTATAAATATTCCACCCAATGAATAGCATCCCCATACCCAAGTCACGTGCACAGCTCGAGGGGCGATGGGGATGCTATTCCATGATCAGCCCCTCCCCATTCACTCTAATCAATACACTCACTCGTACAAAACAAATATTTCGAAGGCTATATACAATAAAAAAATTCTCAATTTCCCTAAAAAGCGGAACAGGGGACTCTGAAACTCGTTCCGTGTCCGAGAACTATTTTTAAACCGGCGGCGTGCCTACACGCTCTCTATATGGAGCCAAGGCATGACACCATTATGTAGGACACATCGAGCAACCTTTCTCTGCGTAAGGGGCACCTGCGCGGCCTTTGGCTACGTACTATTATTGAATCAAATATAATTATCAAATTTTAAACTTAATTGGGTAAAGTATGCGTTTTCTAGATTGTGACCAAGATGGTAGGAGTCGATCACACTACAAATAATTTTTAATCCTATTTTGTACGCATCAGAAGGAAAAAAAATCAAATTCAATGGAATAAATTGATGTTTCTAATTTAAAAACACAATCTATACAATTTTAGGCTTTAATTGTTATTATGTAAATCTATTGAGTGGGATTAAAGGGTAGGTTGATAATTTATTTCATTATTTATTCTTTTATTACATTCCCTGATCGAAGGATTGATTTTTTGAAAAGAAAAGTTTAAATTAAAAAAAGTCATTTTTCAATACAGGGATAAATACAAAACATATTACTAGTTTACATTTGGATTTATTTAAGGTCAAATTAGCACATGTATGTATATATACATATACATATACAGAGTTAGGCCTATCACACCTCACAGTACACCGGCAATTCCAGCTTTTGTAATTTACAATAAATTCCCACCAGGCCTCGAGAAACACCTACACTCCACATAAATATATAACTAAAATAATTGAGGGTCGATGGGGACTTAATATTCCACTCTCACACTACACATTCACACCAACAAATGCTCTGCACCTGCTAGAAACACAAAACCATTACAATGTACAATGAAACAACCCTATTTTGTCCTAAACTCAGGGACCCCCATATATTCGCTGCTGTACTCAAGCACGATTCTCATTTTGGATGGCAATCGGATAAATTGATCCATAAACGGGTGAGGAAGACCCTTCTTCGACGATTCAAATCCTCTAAGGCTCACCTTTCGAAAGTTCTCTTGATACTAGTTTTTAGTAAATATATTACTATTACAATTTATTTCAACTGAAAATTAAAAATGATGCTTAAGTAAATCACCCCAAATAACAATTTTGTAGGGTTTTTAAAAGTTTATTTCATTTAAGGCCACTTGAAATATAGATCATTCTGTAAACGAAAATGACTCGACAGATTGAAAAAAGAAACTCCAATTAATCACAATACATTGATAATATTCTTAATTCTAAGATCATTGTTATTTTGATAATAAATATTTAAATATTGTCATTCATTTGGTTTATACATTATATGAACCTCATTTTTAACGGTGATAATGTTTTAATATTAAATCATCTTAATGGTAATATTATATTTAACTCATACTACCCAACATAGGAGGCTTAAAATTTTAGAAATGTTATAAACATCAATAAAAATGAAACTTGTTACTTTTTATTGATTAAAAGTAAAAATATGTTGAACGGTGGAGTGCATGCGGGGTTGACAACTTTCATGGTAGACGGCACTATACCAAGAGGGAAGCCCGTTACGTTATTGAACAGTCTGAATCATGCCGACAACCCGGCTGTTCATGATAAATTAATAACCATTTGCTACTGGACTATTTTTTTAGATCAATTTTGTCAGAAATCGTGAGCCAACTATTTAATTAAAGAGTTTTCACTTGCCTTATTGGGCTGTGGTGTGGAGGTTCTGCTGGGATCCAGGGCAGAAAAGCTAAAACACAAATTAATAAGTCAATATCGTAACAAAACTAATCCAATTTAACTATTGGATATAAAAGGGGAAAACTTTAACACATGGATAATATAATAATACAACCAGATTTAGAAGTGTTCAAATAAATAAAACCAGCCCTTCATTTGTTTATACAGAAAACAGACTGAAAACTAATTCAATCATTCTTTTATTAGCATTTTTTGATTCAAAATATACCCTATCAAATTATAAGGACCTGAATATTTTTTACAGACTGGTATAATGCTTGTAGTAATGCACTCAAATTCAAATGACGGATTTTAAAATTTATTTTCTAATTTAAAATTCATTTGAATACATATTGCAATTAGGAACACTACAGTTTATAGTCCACAGAGGTTAATTAACACGAAACATGAAATAAATGCAGCTGTCGTCCACCAGCAAAAAATTATGTGAGGTAAAAATTCAGACTGCAATGCAAAATATTTGTTGTTTTGAAAAACTTGAACACAGAATGTATATCTTATTTTTAAAAATGTTGTGTTTTACTATAACTAGTCTAATTTCCTAAAGCCCGAACATTTCATCAATGAATGTTTATCAATTTAAAAACTTGCTTTTAATACCAATATTGAAGTTTGTGTGCAGTACAAATTTAAATTTTGGAGACTTCCTGGAATAGACAGTTCGTAAGTTCTAAATATATTTTTCAAAAAATTTAAACAAAGCTGTATATATTGGAATTAATTCTATCTTTGTAGTTTCAGAGCTAAACCAATCACGAATATGGCCCCAAAGATTTGTAATTCGCATTTTGATTCAGGCAAATTTCAGGCTGAGTGGTTTCAGTTAAGTCAAATGTCAAGTGTGAGGCTAAAAATAAGTAGAAATTGGTGTTTTTTTTTTTAAATTCACATCCATATAAATTTCAGGCCGTGCAGTTTCTGCTAAGTCAAATGCTGTTAAGTGTTAGGATAAAAATAAACAAAAACACCCAGATAAATGTTGTCAAGTGTGATGATAAAACTAAACGAAAAGTTTTTTAAAAATTTATATCCAGATGATAAAACTTAACAGAAATTGGTGGTTTTTAAATTTAGATCCAGGGCAAATCGTGTGGTTTCGGCTAAGACAAATGTCAAGTGTGATGATAAAACTAAACAAATTTTATTTAAAATAATTATATCCAGAATAAATTTCAGTCGGTGCAGTTTCAGATAAGTCAAATGTTGTCAGTGTGATGATAAAACTAAGGAAAAAAAATCTATATCCAGATAATAAATTTTAGGTGTGTGGTTTCAGCTAAGACTAATGTTGTCAAGTGTGAAAACTAAACAAAAGTTGTTGGATTTTTATTTATATCCATATAATAAATTTCAAGCTGTGCGGTTTCAGCTAAGTCAATTGTTGTCAAGTGTGATGACAAAACTAAACAAAAAAAAATTATATTTATATCTAGATAATAAATTTTAGGTTGTGTGGTTTCACCTAAGTCAAATGTTGTCAAGTGTGATGATAAAACTAAACAAAAATTATTGGTTTTTTATTTACATCCAGATAATAAATTTCAGGCTGTGCGGTTTCAGCAAATCAAATGTGAGGATAAAACTAAATAGAAATTGGTGTTTTTTATTTACAAACACTCTGGATCAAGCTAAGGTCTTGAAGAAAAAAGCAAATTAGTTGTTACAGCCAAGCTTTCAACCTATTATTAGGAGGGGGGGTCCCCAGGGTAAAACATTCTTAAATATGTCTACAGATTGATTATTAGTCTGAAGCCCAAACAGTTCATGAGTGCTTGGCAACATTAGGACTAAATTGGTCTTCAAAGAAATTTGAGATCTGTAATAAACTTAAATAAATTAATTTGTAAACATATTTATGATTGTTTTCCACTGATGATGACATTAAAATAGGTTGAAGCCTGACAGTAACATCTGAATTAGCTTTTTCTTCTGTGTGTGTAAAAGTGTTTGGGAAAAAAAACACCATTTCAGTTTAACTTTATCCTTACACTTGACAACATTTGACTTAGCTGAATCCACAGTATTAAATTTGATATTTGTTAGTGAAAAAGTGGTCGATACTTCTAATATTTTTTTATTTAGATTTCAGGCTGTGTGGTTTTTTCCTAAGGGTGAGAATACAACTAAACTAAAATAAATCATGTTTTTATTTCTAAACGGGAAAATTTAATAAAATCAGGCTTAATTCCAGTGGTTACAGCCGAGTGTAAGATGTAAAAAGAGTGACCAGGCAGACCTGAACAGACATCTTAGGTTCATTTGGTTAATATTTTAGTCCACTTAAATGTTTGGTGGTTAAAGAGATAAAAATGCTTGGACTTTGCTGAAAACGCACAGCCTGAAATTTATTCTGGATATAAATATTTAAAACAAAAATTTGTTTAGTTTTATCATCACACTTGGCAACATTTGACTTAGCTGAATTCGCAAAGTCTGAAATTTGATCCAGTGTTTGTGAGTGAAAGTGTTCGATACTTCTAACATTTTTTTAATTTACATACAGGCAAAATTTTAGGCTGTGTGGTTTCACCCAAATGAAATGCATGAAAAGGAATGTCAAATTAGGTGAATATAGCTAAACAAAATATATGATTCTTGCAAATTGCAGACTGTTTTTGTCTGCTATGTCAAAGTGTGAGGGAGGCTAGATATAAGCAAAACAAAAATGATTCTTTTCAATTCTGGCATCTTCAGGCTGTGTGGTTTTTATCTAAGTGAAATGCCAAAGTGTGAGAATAGAAGTAACCAAAAATAAATCATGTTTTTATTTCTAAACGGGAAAATTTAATAAAATCAGGCTTAATTCCAGTGGTTTCAGCCGAGTGTAAAGTAAAAACAGTGTCCAGGGAGACCGTAACAGACATCTTAGGTTCATTTGGTTAATATTTTAGTCCACTTAAATGTTTGGTGGTTAAAGAGAGAAAAATGTTTGAAGTTTATAATAGATTTCCCTCGCTTTGCATCCATTTCAAATACAAATTTTAAATGGTCTGAATATTTATTTTAGCCCGTACGAAACAAATTTCGGGGAGATATTTACCCTTCGGTCCTGGGTTTAAAAGACCATTCGGATCCTAAGGAAGGGTTCATCTGCCTCTCTGAAACAAAACGGGACGGATTAAAGAACGATTAAGCGAGAGACCGTCTGGAAAGAATGGAAAAACCGCCGGATTACCATTTTCGTTATGGTCGAGAAGGGGAGCGTCTATCTGTCTCTGCAGCTGTCTCGTCTCGTGTGTCAACGATCTCACTCGGTTCAGAAGCTCCTCATAGCTCGAGACTGGTAGAGTCATACCGAACCCGCCCTCTCAGTAACATCTAACTTAAAAGTACGTCTTTTTCCGAGGGGACGAAATTTGAATAAATAACCGGCGCCCGTATTCGGATTACGGAGCAGTGGTCGACGAGGCGCCGGCGGACGTCTCTCCTGTCGCGAGACTTCAATAAACACGAAACCACCGTAGACAGTTTACCACACAGTTATGCCGAAGAGTTTACCTACCAAAACAGGGTGATCCACTGGAAGAAGACCACACTTGGCCCAGGTTCGCCAACCTACCGACTTTCACCAAATTACAGTAACAAATATACTCTGATTTACTTTAAAAACCTTTTTTCTTGGATATAAACCTATAAATCTAATCTTAATTTTATCGAATTATAGACATGCCATACCTAACGAACAATAAAGACGCCCCCTCCTAAAAGGAATAATGAATTGGACCATTCAAAAAGCTAAGCTATCCACAATGGTCTTTGACATCCAAAGGTTTATTTATTTTTCATTTTGTCCTCATACATACATAATTTATGAATTTTACATTTTTTCTGGAGTATAAACGTACATATTTCTTGAGTTTGCTTGTCATTACAATTTTTTTTGGACCATGCAGGATAGCGTTATGCCAGATCCTTTCATGGAGGTAATTGTTCTGCATTTTATAAAACATTTGTTCAAATTTGGTATAAAGCTTTAATCTACATTATATTTTGTGGTTGACATAATTTAATAAAATGGCAATTAAAACTAGTTTATATACATAGCCGGTACTGGGAATTCTCATGTAGGTAAATAGATTAATTCGTATTTGAACAATTTAAAATCAATTTCTTTTATCATTATGTTCATTCTTTTTTTATAACAATTTTGTTTAGACTAGTTCAGTAATAAATTATATAATTCGGAAAAATTATTTATTAATACTATTCCTCTAAACCAGTTGTTCCCAAAGTGGTCCCTACGATTTGGGGTTCTCTGACCAACGTCAGGGGGTCCGCGCAAGGTTAAATAATATAATATAAATAATAATATAAATCGCATAAATAATATAATATAAATAAAATAATATAATATAAATAATAATATAAAATAATATAATATAAAACAGAAGTACTTTGGTTATCGAAAAGTGCATGTTTAAATTGATTTTATGTGCTCTTTGATTCAGATTGGAATTCTTGGAACGCAAAGACAATGATTTTCGACACAATTTAATTAACTCAAAAAATGACATATAACAGATTTAAATTTGCCAAATTTAATGAAACTAATTTGAAACTACAAGGTGACCAATTAAATTTAATCCAAACTAAAAGCGTAATATCTGCATTTGTTGCAAAAAAAATTTCTGTACAAACAAAACTCGGGAAGAGGAGAATGTTCTGGTTCCAAATCTTTTGAAGTTGCAAATTAGAGATGAAGATTTGCTTCCTTATTTTCAACACTTAACGGAACCAAAAATTTGAAGACATTCTTCACTTGGATATTCCCAACTGGGTGTTCAACCCTTTTGCGCGTGGACAAACTCAGTTCTCAAACAGATGAATCCATACTAATATAGGAGCAGCTTGTTGAAATATCCACAAATGACGAACTTAAAACAATGTTTGAACAAGGATACCACAAATTCTGGTTACAAAAACAGACCTCAATTTTATATCCTGCATTATGGGTTATTGTACAGAAGTTGTTAAATGTTTTTCTGTCTTCTTATTTGGTAGAACATGGATTCAGTGCCGTTATGAACTACATCACACAAAAAAAAAAGAAACCGACTAGAAATTAGTGCTCGTGGGGATTTGCGGTTGCTACTCACAAACATTGAGCCGGACCTATGTATATACACTCATATTATCTCATCACGTTCATCCAAGTCATTAAATTTCTATATTTTAATTTAAACAAAAGTAATTAACATTATAATTTATATATATTTATTTATAATTTCAATAATACTTCTTCAACAAAATGTTTTCACTTGGGGGTCCATGGGCAATTTTTGTCTGTAAATAGGGGTCTTGGGTCAAAAAAGTTTGGGGACCACTGCTCTAAACAATGGTGAGTTTTGGCTAATAGTTTTTTTGATCAATGGTAATTTTATTCTATAAACGGTCCCTCTAGTAACACAAGGGTTCTGTAGAATTAAATGCCTTATCAAGAAAACCATTCAATTATAATTATTTAAAAAAGAGCTAATTGAAAAAAAAAAGTAAACAAAAGAAGATAAACCCAAAGCTGTTCTATGGTACCCAGATGGTTTAAAGGTGAGAAATAGTACGGGTATGGCATAAAGGGACCTAACTAGTCCCACATGGCCCTCGGCCCCACAAAACCATCTTTTCAAGTCGAACTGCTACAATAGCATGAGAGGATTATTAATAAATAACAAACATCTGAAGGGTGCAGAAATACTAGGTTGTAAAAGCACTCCAAGCCTATGAGATCAACTTAACTTTCAGGATGAAATGACCTACCTATTGATGACCTTGGTGTTACAGATATTATCTAATGAATTTAATTATTAATTTTTATGTTATGTTATTGTTGATCATTTTAAACATTATATATATTATGCAGGGTGGGCGACCAGTACCTGAGGGGTTAAATACCTGGGTAGATTTGTACCCCATCCCTAAAAGGTCCGGGACTTGTTCAGCTCACGTGTCCTGCATAAACCTCTTGGACTTGTTCACAAACCCCAAGATTTTGGACCATTTTATCTCGGGGAGTGATTTGGTGATGATCCTCTCCTTCAAACATTTCAAATCTAGATCTAGCATACCTATCATACTCTGCGAGGTAGTGCCTTGCGGTTTCTTCTTTTATTTCGCAGAAGCGGCAAAAGGGATCTGGTAGGATACCCATTACGAAGAGGTGTCTTCTCAGTGGGCAGTGGCCCGTCAGAATACCTATCAGCCTCCTAATTCCCTTCCTTGAGATAGAGAATAGCCATTTCGATTCTGCTGGTTTGATCGCCTTAACAAACTCTTTCGATTGCCTGTGTCCGGGGGATAAATTCCACTCCCTAAGGAATTGTTTCATGCCCCAGCTATTGATACTCTCCTTCGCTGTGCTCATAGAGTGAGGTAATACCGGTTGTGGCCCAACAAACGCAGTATTAGAACCTTCTTTGGCTAGGCATGGTGTCCTTTATGTGCTGGTATCCAAATAAGGGTCACCTTATTCTCAAACCTGAAAGAGATCCTATTGATAAGATCTATAGTTTCCTCCACCAGTCGTGAGGTTGACAAATCTTTTTGTAATGCCCTAAGACTAGCCTGACTGTAGATTTTAATATTTTTTCCCTTAATTTTATTTTCCATAAGTGTTCTACAACACACATTGATGGCCCAGTTTTCCACCTGAAAAACGGAGGTGTTATTGCCAAGAGGGGAGGAAATGCTGATTCCTAATTTTGGTATGTAGATTCCCGCACCACTCCCTCTTCCTTTGATAAGTGATCCATCTGTGTAGCAGTCTATGTTACAATGGTAATCATCCAGACTATAATCATAATCACAAGGGGTGACTACCTGAAAGTGCTTTTTCCCCGAAGGGGTTTTAGTCTTTTTATCACTAACGCTTAATAATTGACCGTTAACCTTACTCAATAGTTGTGAGATTTTCGAGTGACCTATGTTATTGCATTTATGATTAATTTTTATGTTATGTTATATTATTGTTGATCATTTTAAACATTATTTTATCCTAAATGTGTTTTTAGTTTAACTATTTTTTTCAATATTTGAATGCAATGTTAATTCAATATAATTTACTTGTTAATTAAACGTAAGATTATAATATAATTCTTGTTTGTTTATAATATAGTTTAGCACTATCTTTACGTAAGTTGTCTTCTGTATTCTATTACTGTTCTTACTTTCGAGAGTATATCATAGCCAGAATAATGAATTTTAAATCCAAAGTGAGAATAAGTATTTGTTTGTCAACTAATGTCTGTTTTAAACTTGTTTTTCATTAAAAATTACATTTTAATTTTCTGCTGGTTTACCGAATAACATTTATACCAATTTTGGGGTATTGCTCTGTTGCTAACTTACTTTTGAATTTAAAATGTATGACTGCATTTAATTTTGACTTGGTTTAGTTATTATTTTATGCGGTATAGTAATTTTTATACAAAATCAAAAGAGCAGTTTTTGCTAAATTTCACACTGAGATCTGCTAGGTGATGAACCGGTGGTAGTTGATCATTTCTGATTATCCTAACCTGACAGGTGGATACTGCAAGGACAGATAGAACACTGGATCAAGGTATGGTCATGAAAAAGAACAAAGCAGATTTAGTTGTTAATGCCAAGCTTTTGGCCTATTTTAAGGTCTTCCTCAGGGCAAAACAATCTTAGATATGTCTACAGATTGACATATTTAAGTTTTTTCTTTTTTTGATTTGGTTCCAACATTGCCAAAGACTGTTAGAGCCCTGAAAGAAAAAAAAACACCTTTAAAAATGTCAATCTGTAGATTTATTTAACGTTGTTTTGTCCTGATGATGACCTAAAAATAAGCAATTAAATTTGCCTTCTTCAAGACCATATCTTGATCCAGAGGGTTTGTAAGTGAAAAATTGGTCGATACTTCTAATACTGAAAAGAGGATAGATAGACCCATATGTTCAAAACTGACAGAATTGTTTTTTCTAAATACATTTTTCAGTTTGATTTATAGGCATAACTAATTGTGGAAACTATTGGTAAAAAGGAAATAGGGATTTTTTTAAAAAGAAAACCACTTTTATTTATTTATATATAGTTTTTTGTGCTTTTTTAGTATTTTTGTGTTTTATTTTTTGTTTTCTCGTTTTTTTTGTTATTTTGTTGACACAAATCTTCATAACTTGTACCAATTGTACCAATATACCTTTCAAATTAAATATATGTATTTTTTATTTAATAGAGAATAATTTTATAATTAAGAATTTTATAACAAATACAGAATTAGTAAAATCCAAATTTAACCTAATAAAAAAGGACAATAAGAAAGGAAATTGCAACAAAATAAATCAAACAAAACACTTCAATAAAGGGTCAATATACATAGCAAACAAGCAAAACAGAAAAATTGGACAACATCTACACAAAACACCGACAAAAAACAAAACAGAATTTGTAAAACCCAAATTTAACCTAATAAAAAGCACAATAAGAAAGGAAATTGTAATTTAAAGAAAACACTTAAAAAAGAGTAAATAATCATAGCAAACAACCAATGCAGAAAAATTGGACAAAATCCTCGCAAAACACAGACAAAAGAACAATAGAGAATTTGTAAAATCCAAATTTAACCTATTAAAAAAACACAGTAAGGAAGAAAATGGCAATCTACACAATACACTGACAAAAGGACAATACAGAATTTGCAAAATCCAAATTTAACCTAATAAAAAAAGCACAGTATGGAAGGAATTTGCAACATAAAAAATCAAACAAAACACTCAAAAAAAGAGTCAATAAACATAGCAAACAACCACAGCAGAAATATTGGTCAAAATATGCACAAAACAGACAAAAGTTCAAATTCAGGATTTGTAAAATCCATATTTAACCTAATATAAAAGCACAGTACGGAAGAAAATTGCAAAGCAAAACCCCTAAATATGTCGATCTGTAGACATATTTAAGGTTGTTTTGCCATGTTATGCCTTAAAATAAGCAATTAAATTTGCTTTCTTTTTCTTCAAGACATACCTTGATCCAGAGTGTTTGTAAGTGAAAAATTGGTCGATACTTCTAATACTGAAAAGAGGATAGATAGACCCACATGTTCAAAACTGACAGAATTGTTTTTTCTAAATACATTTTTCAGTATGACTATGTAGGTATAACTAACTGTGGATACTATTGGAAAAAAGGAAATAGGGATTTTTTTAATAAATAAAACCACATTTTCTTTCCATATCATTTATTTCATACATGAAGTCCCATGTGTATAAAATGATAAGCAACTCACAGACACATAAACATACATTTAGTATATAAACAGTTTCTTCTCTGATTTATATATACTTTTTTTGTAGTTTTTTAGTATTTTTGAACTTTTTTTGAACTTTTTTAAATTTTTTGTTTTTTCAAGTTTTTTTTTGTTATTTTGTTGACACAAACCTTCATATATAAACTTGTACCAATATACCTTTCAAATTAAATATATATATTTTTTTATACATTATATAAAAGTTTTTTTACAACTTTTACTATTTATAACTATGCCCTATAATTAATTAATTTTACATTTAGATTTACAGTTTGAAATATATTCAAACCTAAAATTTCTAATATATAATCTAAATCTGTATCTAAACACCTGTTTATTTAGGATATGTTCTGAAATCACCACCGAGATTTTTCCAAGTCCAGGCTAAATTCTCTTTGAAAATATAATTTTTAAATTTATGTTTTGATATGTTTTGGCATCGACAGATATGTTTGCAATCACAACGATTATCAAAGGGGGTCGGGGGACTGATCGAATAAAAGACTGGTACATTGGGAAATTCGAGCTTTTCAATTTGTATAATTTCCTGGGAGTGAACAAGTGGTCTCCTTGGGACTCGTTACAAAAGCTGTACACTTGTTTTTCTACAATTGAAAGATTTTTCCTTGTATAGCTCGGCTTTACAGTATAGTATAAATTTCTAAAGATATACAGTGGATCGAGCATTACTTTTTCTTCGACAGCGCCACCTATAGGCTTGCTACAGAGAAAGATCGTACATTATAGGCCAAGCTGAAAGCTCACTAGATCTATCGACTACAAAACCAACCATACAAACTAATATTAGTTGCTTACAAGATCTTACAGTAAAATTTTAAAAATTCCTGACATTTGTATTAATGAACTGTCTGTACTAAAATATTTCTTTTATTTTTATTTTGTATAGAAATATTATAGAATATGTTTTGAAAATCCACTATTTACAAATTTTGTCTAGTTGATATCTGATAAAAAGTTTTGTTTAAAATATTAAAATAGTTTTTTACATAATTTTTTTTTATTGTACTTTTAATTTTTTTTAAAACAGCTTTGTAGCTTTATTGTCTTCCTCTCGTCAACTTTTCAAAGTTCCTTCAGGAAAAAAGGAAAATTCCATATCAAAGAACATGTTTCACGTTAGTTTGAGACTCTAACCAGATAATTCTTTAACAAACTCTCAGGCTTGAGGCTGGACACAGTCTCAAATTTGCCCAAGTTGAATTTGGATGCAGCATCGAAGAAATGACCAACGGCTAATTGTTTCAAGTGAAAAAACACATTCACTTTTTATGAAAATGCAATTTCAAATTTAATTATATTGTAAAACTATTAAAAAATCTTTGTAATTATTGTTAATATATATCACTCTAAAGGACAAAGTTTACACACACTCTACATGTAGATTGAGTCCTCTTTTCACAAAAAATCTCAAATTTAAGAAATTAATTGTATCTCTTCTGTATTTTATGTATAATCAGATCTAAGAAACTTTCAATAAAAAAAGGATCAGTTTTATAAATTGATTTTAATTGTTTTTTTCTCCAAATATTTGTATGATAAGCAGTTACATTTATGAAATGTTTTAATATATATTCCAATCCTCTTTTTATTTTTCCCCCTTTACATTATTTTGCTTAACATTTCTCGCAAATAATTAGGTTGCATGGTTGGTTAAACAATACAGAGTAAAAAACATATTTATAAATATAGTACATAAATAACTACTTTCTATTCGAGCAATTTTCAGTGCACATATATTATATACATATACATTGTTTTTAAGTATAGTCTTGTACAGGTAACATTTTTTTCTACACTACAAGGAGTAGAGTGATCTTATTTTTACCTTTTTTTTACACATACTATAATTACGTTTAGAAACAACACATTTTTTTTTCTTTTATCCATTCTGTATATCTATTATCGTAAAAAGAACAATTACAGATGAAACTCTCTTGTGGTTTGTATAAACGTGGTTTTTATTTAACACTGCCAGCAGGTCAAAAAATAAACTTATAAAATTTGAAATATACTTTTATAAATGATAACTTTTAATGTTAATACTAGGAGAGTAAATTTGTAAAATAAAAATCACAGCTATTATCCTTAAAGTTTAAATTTTGTAGTTAATCACTTAACCAAGACCAATTTTTATATACAAATTCATATTATTTATTAATAAACTCTTTTATTTCAAGTCAGTTGAAAAATGAATGCGATTTGACGATGAGAAATTAGTTCAACTTTCAACAATGTACTTAGATTAATGAAGATAAATATCGAGAATGTTATTTAATCACCTAAAGAAATTAAAAGAACCGATAGTTACTCTATTTTCCAATAGTTTTACTATCAAAAGAATCAATTACAAATATTTGAAAATTTTCTTGGAGTTTATCAAGTTAATTTATTGTATGCAGTTTACAATAAGAGAAATTCAGAATGGCATTTTATGTTTTTAAACAAAATTTCACTACAGGCTCAAAAGAGTTTCCTTATTGAAACATAATTACAAAAATAGAAGAATAATAAATAATAATTTTTTTCCAATTGAAATTATCGAATATTCTAATTTCTCGAAGGGGGAAAAACCTGACGAGAAAATTTACATCTTACACCTATTCACATTTACAGCTTAATGATTAAACGGTTAAATGGTACGATTAAGTGCCATCAACAATTGAAACTGATATGTTTTTTTTTAAACAGTATATCACAAAACCTATAAGCCATACGAATAGCCTATCTTTTGTTTAAGGTACATACAACATTTCGGTTAAATTAAATATTTTGTTAAGAATTTTCATTATACACTTCCTAAGGGGCAGAACAAAAATAAGCAACGATATGTGATATCTCTTATTCTTAGAAGTATAACAAACATCAATTTCTTTTCCCTGCATACCATCTAAGCAATGCGTCTTATTTTTTATTTTTTAAATCCATCACAATTAAATTTACATTTCAGCTTATAAAAGTAGTACAGCAGTTCATTCTACATAAAGAAAATATACTCTATCATCAAATAAAACATTTTATCTACAAGCGTATAGCATATTTAAGTGCTTAGTTTATTTCTTTAAATATATATGTATTTTTTATATTACCAACTATCCATTTATTTTTTTAAATTATAGGTATACTGGTTGGATTATAGCTGAACAATGACAATGAATCTACAGGCACTAGATTGTTACACAGTTTATGAGATTTCTATATAAATAAAGTTGATACAATTTTTTTCTTTCAAAAATACTAATTGACTGTACGCATTGAAAACCTACTTATTGTGCGAATTCATTTGGTTCTTTTGGGAAAACAAATCTCTGTATAATTTATGAGTCAGGACTAACGCTTATTTTTGTGTAGTTTTCATTTTGTTATATTTCAATGGAAAATAGAATTCTTTTGTGACTCCTTCAAGAATGAAACATAGCACAAGAAAGAGTAGACGACGATGTCCCATTAAACCGTACATTTATATGGACGAAGTGAACATATATATATAAATATATATAATAGTTTTAATACAATACTGGACTCCACTGCAATATTACATTACTGGCATCCGGGCTTCAATGAAAAATATCAGTTGAAAGTAGTTAAAGTTCAAAATAAACAAAAAATCAGGCTTAAAGGAAAGTAGGCCTCATTAGGTCGTGAAACGAAGGGAAAATTCGATTTTCAACTGTTATAAAGAGCAGTTATAAAAAATAGTTTTTGCACACTTGCAACTGAAAGAAAAAAAAATCAATTTAACATATTAATTCCATTATATTTTAAATCTTCTTTTAATTTTTTTTAAATTTTAGAATTGTTTTCTATTAGTAAAAGCACAGTACTGGAGAATTGAGCTAATTAGTTATTGTTAAATGGTACCAGATTGTCCTGAATGATCCCTACAATTAATTAGGCATATATTATACCATGTTAAAGTGGACAATTTTATAACTAACTGTGAGCAATTCTAATTTTGCAGATTTTGGATTATAGCACTAAGATCTAAAGTTTAAAATTAATTTCCCCTGGACTCAATTGTACCATGTAAAATACAACAACCTCTTTCCTAAATGTTTGTCTTTCGACAAACAAATACATAAAAAAAATATTTTTGATAGGTTTCCAAAATCTGCATGAATGTATTGGGAGTATGGTATAGTACAAAGCGTGAAACATAAATTATGTTAACAGTCCTCTACAAGTATAGTAGAAGAAGAAGATAGTTTTTTTTTTTCTATACTCGATATTTTATTTTTCACTAACACTTATAAGTTTTAGCATTATTTAACTAACTTGTCAGAGGTACAAATGAAATGATGTATCGATTAAACCAGAAACACCTTGACATACCTAGATCTCACATTTTATCAAATTTTCTTTTACCCTGGAAATGGACTATTGTTACCTAATTTTTTAAAAGTACAGTTACTTAAATTCTAATCAGATATGTATATTGATATGCTTTATACTGATATGTTTTCTTTTACATTCATAAAAATATTTGATGAGTTTAACATAGACTTATACAAATATAAAACCCATGGATCTTTCTTTTAAATTTATTTATGTACTTTAGATATTTAATTACTTACTTATTTGTTTAATTAATCCTTGATTGATATGAATAGGTACAAATGAGGTAAGATCCCTTCAGATTAGAGTGTTCACAGTGGTTGCCTTGCTTTCTCGCTAAAATACAAAACCTCACGCATGATATGTAAAATATCACAAAATTTACAAAATATCCATATTAAAAGACTGTTATTTATATGAAAAATTTAGATTTCTTTTATCTAATAATATATTTCCCTTGTAAAATAATTAACTAAACTTGTATTGATTGCCTCGCAAAAGCAGCTTTCAATGCGAGGAATGGCATAAGCCTAGTGCACTCGCCTATTCGTGCTACGCCTATGCGTGCTGTGCTCCACTAAGATCGCCATAGATAGAATTATGCATGTTTTTGCTTTTTCATCGCTCTAAACAGCCGCCAACGCAACGATTAATCCAAAAACGAGACTGATCCAAGGTGATTCCGAATTGCCCCGATTCAACATTATCCCCATCGACATGTTCTGTACTAATTCTACATCTAAAATCGGTTCGCTTTTATCACAACCACAATTTTCACCTGAAAAACAGAAAAATCATTATAAACATTTTATTTTCCATTAGGAAAATAGCAAATGTGCACAATTACCCGGGGTCTCTTTAAGCTTCGGAAAGAAGTCATTCCAAAAAGCGCAAGCGGTCGACCTCGGTCCATGCCCAATGCCCATGTCCTCAGCATTGAAAACATAATAGTACGGCTGTTCTTTCGTGTAAGGGGGCCAATTAACATCCTCCGGCACTGGTTTACTAAACACACAACAAATAATTAATTTGACTCGAAAGTTTCATTTGAAATCTACACTACAAGTGAAGGTTTAGTAAAAAAGAAGTTTTAGACTTTTTAAAAATATTTTTATTGACACACGTAACATATTTTGTAACAATTTTAACATATTTATTGTCAAAGAGTCCTTCGATTCAAGGAAAAATATGCTGGTCCAAATACAAAGATTATGTATTGGACAAGATAAGTGTGCCTAGGAATTTGACCAATAAAGAGAACATCGACGGTTGCATCTCGAAACTGGAACAGGTCATAAAAGAAGCGATCGCAGCTTCTCTACTGTATGAAAGAACATCTCCACGAAAGGATATGAGAGACCTGTTACCCAAATCAATTATAGATCTCATAAGGCTGAAAAGCAGAACAAGACGCCAGTGGCAGCGGAACAGGACAACAACCCTTAGAAGGCAACTTAACTACTTATAGCACAAAGTAACTTAGGAGCTTGTACAACTTCCGAAAGGAAAAATATCAAAAATACCTAGGAGACATTCTTCCGGGAGAAGGTTCGTTATGGAAAGAAACAAACGTATTCTCAAAAAGCAGTCCCCCAATTCCTTTCATTTCAAGCAATGACTCCGTAGCTGTTACAGACCAGGACAAATGTAAAGTGTTTGCGGAGTTCCTTGGACAAACTCTCTCTCATCCTACAGTTGGCCAATCAGCTGTCAGTGAAGAGATCAATGCCCAGCCCAGCCACAGCTGAACCGGCAGTCACATAACAACATCAATGTCAAGCAACGCTGCCATACTGGATCTACAAGATCAACAAAAAAAAGGAGAGGAGGGCAGTCCTATGCTGAACGCGGTACCGCGAACATCTCCCAAAAAATAAGGAGACTCATTTATCAACGGTGAGCCATAAAAAATACCTATTCAAAAGAACGAAATCTTTTTTTGTTTATTAATTAGAGAAGAAAATTAAATTTTGATTACATCCAAATAATTATATTTGGATAGTGAAAGAATTATTTTTTATTTTTTAATTAATTTTTTTAATTGTAAAAAGGAAATTTTTTTTTAGTTTTAAATTTACAAAACAAGCAAGAGGTTTATATAAAAAAGTAAAGATTTTTTAAAATTTTTAGTCTAATTTAACTGATTATTATAATAAGAGTTTATATTTGTTCATGTATGATCACCTTTATAATAAACCAATTGTTTACTGATAATTTAATTTCAACATCTGTTCTGTTTTTTCCTAAATTAAAAAATGAGTAAATAACTTGAAAACAAAAATTAATAAACTTTATTTATTTTGAGGCATTGTTGTATGTTTTTTTCCCCCCCGGACCTTTACCTTACAGTGATGAGCGCCTTGTCAACACCTTAACCATTGCGGCCACCGACGTCCCTGCATGTGGTAAAGTTTTCATAAACAAAATTAACAAGGAACTTACAGCGTATATCCTTCAGGATGTAATGGGCATTGTGTGAATATAGCAGATAGTGGACATTATGCACATAGTTGTTATACATATTTATTTAATGTTATTACTTATTATATATATGTATAATTTAAACTATTTCCACCATTGTTGAAAAAGGCTCGTGATAGATTTATTATAATCAGATGTCCGATGCGAAATAATTAATTCAAGACTGTATAACTTGTACTAAGTTGTTTAGTGAAAAGTCGATGAAATACGGCGCTTCGCTATTTTAAACCTTCACGACCGATCTGTTATGTGGGTTTTAATCTATTAAAGCGCCTTGCTGAGAAGAAATCTGTGGCTTTCTTCTTCGAGGAGAGCCAAGCCAAACTAGCGTTTTGCATACACGCAAAAACTCATAAATCATGGATGTGTTTTTCAACTGTTAATTCGTAAAACATTTCAAATGAGAGAGAAACCGATTTCGTTCGAATTCGGGCACCGTAAGAAATTTTCTAAGCATTTCTGCAACTGAGCATAGCTTTCAAGGATTTTAGAATCTGCTATACTGAAAGCCTTAAGAAACTTAAAATAAAGCCCTGGGAACTTACCCTGTGAGGGCGAATGTCGAGAAAGCCTCGATTATCCTGAGGCTGAGGTCTCTTTCTCTCGCGCTGTACGAGAGCGACATGTTGAGAGGGTGGCCGAAGACGTAGCCAACTTCGTCGCCGTGCATCACCCCCATCCATTCGCCCCAAGGACTCGTGCTCGGCCTCTGCAAAAAAAACCCCACAATAAATAAAAAAAATTCGTTCATCCCCTTGGTTGAAAAAGAGGGGAAAAACCCTCTGGGAAACACGTCACCTGGGTGAAAAAGTAGTAGTAGACTTTGAGGCCGTGTTCCGCGAACATTTGAGCAAATTGGTTTGTCGGGCAGATGAAGAAATAGTCGCCTATGATATCGCCGACCATCTTCTGGTTCAAATGCTCGTCGTTCACTTTCTCCCAGTCGGTGTACTGATAAATCAATGACGCAAATCGTACAAATCGCAATGATTAAAAGCTAATGAACAAAAAAATCGACTAACCTGAAATATAATCGCGTCCCTCTCCAAGGTGGTCATGTTTTTGAAAATAGTGTTGACAATATCTAAATATTTATCCCTCTGAAGAAAAATTGGTCCATCTTTCTCAAAATAGTCTATAAAATCGTAGAGCATGAAGTAGGTTCCTGAAACAATCAATCCTGGAATTAACACTCAATTTTAATGGTATTCCTTTTACCAATTTTATTTTACCAACCTAGTTTGAGTGAAAAACAAACCAAAAACAAAGTGACTCTTTTTTTCTCTATAAATATCAATGAAGTTATCTCATACGTGGCTTAGTAAACATGGGGCTTTGGATCGCGCGTAAACGGGCTCTTGTGGCGAACACTGGAAAGCTTGCACAAGAGAAATTTTACGATGGAAGTCGAAGAAGTCGTTTGTCTGTGGTATCTCTACCGCCGCTATAAACTAAGACAAAAGAAGTATTGGGTCCAGTCTATTTTAAGAGGTAGATTCCCACAAGGCTCTGTTCTGGGACCTACTCTGTTCCTCATTTATATTAATTCTTTCAATTATTTAATCTTTTTATGTAAGGTTTTGGTCGAAATGAAAAAAGCTAGTGTCACGAGCGGGATTCGAACCCACGACCTCCGATCCACTCGGGCACCAACTCCCCATCTTAACCTACAATCTTTCGAATTTTCCCTCCTTTTTGCCAGTTTTCAAATTGCCGAAGGTCGTGGGTTCGAATCTCGTTCGTGACACTAGCTTTTTCATTTCAACCAAAACCTTACCTAAAAAGATGAATTAATTGAAAGAAATAATTTGGTCAATAGACCACTAAATATAATGGATTTATATTAATGATATGCCCAAAACCCCTGGCATTGAACTGGCCCTGTTTGCTGATGACACTTCTGCTCATCATCATGGAGGGTGAGTGTCAGAGCGAACCGATTGAACAGGACAGTGGAGAGGACTGTCGAGTACTTTACGAGGTGGAAAATAAATGTGAACAGGAGTAAGTCTGAGGTCATATTCTTCATGAAAAGACGTCCAGTTGCAGACCATAAAGTTCAGACCTTAATGGCGCAAAAATTAACTGCGGCTAGATGCTAAGTTAACGTTTACAGCCCATATCAATGAATTAATTAAAATAGGAAAAAACATGTAAAAATAATTTTTTCACTCCTTTGTCGAGAGTTCCAGTTGAGCGTTTGTTGAGCTCATCAACAAAACCGTAGCAAGGCCAGTGTTGACATACGAATGCACTGCTTTGGGCTTAACTTGTAACAGAAATTATAACAAGCAGCAAAGAACTCAAAATAAGTTTCTAACGTTATGCACTAACAGCCCATTAGCAACGAAGATAGATGAACTCCACACAAACTCCGGAAGTTTATAGATACCGATTGTCAAAAAGATTTTTAATAGATGTTCTGGTAGCGCCGTTTGTATATTAGTTTAAGAAATCGGACAAAAACCTGCACCCAGTGTATATATGTATTTATATTTATTTAATTGATTAAATAAACAAGTTACTCATACATAGGCTTATTTATTCGTATCACAATAGGAAATACTACTCGTAGGGTTTTTAAAATTTTTTCTCCAGTAGTGTATATAGGACTACCAATGACAACTAGGTTGCCAATTATTTGCATAGTGATTAAAGGTATTGCCCTGTGCATACGATAGCATTTGTTTCTTAAAAAAAAAAAAAAAAACTATAAAAAAAGGAGTTAGATTCACAAATAGTATATTCGTTACTCTCTATCCAAAATTACGTGATTATGAACCAAAAGTTTTCAATTGTTTTAGAATGTGAATTAACTCCTGACGATATTTTGCACTTTTTGCACCCCGCCAGAAGAAAACCTCGTCATAAAATATCGATAATGCTGATATTGCAGACCAAGAGTGCATCAACCTTTAAAAATACATTATATTTAGTGGTCTATTGACCAAATTACTTATCCTTTTTAAGAAAGATGGTTCCTACTCACATTAAGTTGTTTCGCAACAATCCGGACTTCGAGCCCTTTAGCTCATCGTCAGGCTGAAGGGTTTCCACAACCACGTCTCTCGACATGAATTGCAGAAGTGAACCCGCTGATACCCCCGCCAACGCGACGTTCCAATGAGGAGCTGGGTTNTAATTATTTCATTTTTTATTTTTATTTATTTATTTATTTTTTTAAATATTTTATCTTTGGCGGGGGTATCAGCGGGTTCACTTCTGTAATTCATGTCGAGAGACGTGTTTGTGGAAACCCTTCAGCCTGACGATGAGCTAAAGGGCTCGAAGTCCGGATTGTTGCGAAACAACTTAATGTGAGTAGGAACCATCTTTCTTAAAAAGGATTGAACTCCACACTCACCCCATCATTTGTAATTTCTACAAAGTACTTATTTCAATTAATTGAAAAATGGCAACAAGGAGGGAAAATTCGAAAGGTTGTAGGTTGAGATGGGGAGTTGATGTCCGAGTGGATCGAACCCACGATAGTTCAAGTGGTAGAACAGCGGCTTATTGTGCCAAAGATCGTGGGTTCGAATCCCGCTCGTGACCCTGACTTTTTCATCTCAACCAAGACCTTACATAAAAAGAGTCTTTTAAGGGTTTTGGACGCCAAGAGGATATGGTGACGCGTACACATAAATCATGGTATTGGGATCTATAAGAGCGTTATAAATTGCGTACATGATATCCTTGGTAGGATATAATTTAGTATTATTTGCCGCATCATTCAGGAGATGAGTTTCCAGGAAAAGGTGCTTACTTTTATAAAAGATCTCTTGTGCCAGATTCAAAGCCTGTATCAACTGGGAACGCACCTAGGAGGAACTCTGAAACCTCCTAAACCTTGCTGGATGGTGGATCGATGGAGAAAGAAGACAAATTGGAGATAAAGGTGATATCGTGCGAGTTTAGGATGGGTATTGAAGGTTTTTTTAAAGTAGTTTTTCGATGGTTGTGGGTATCGAGCTTGTCTCAGACGGGCCGGGAACAGCAACCTGTTGCTCAGCCCCTAAACTGCACGCAATCTCCTCGTTTAACATATTCGTGATCAAGGCCCAGTAGGTTGTAAGATCTTAATATTAAAATTATTCAACACTTTTCACGTTGTCGTTTGGACATGTTAAACCGATGTAGATTTAATAACAAGGGCATAAATAGCAATTTGTCAAATTGGTTAACTCCCGCAATTTGCTAATTCACTTTTCCGCCGGTATTTACTCATATTCGCCGCCTATAGGATTGGAAAAAAAAACCAAAAAAACAAACACACAATATAAATATTGAACTGGCAAATTGAATAAATCAAACAAAAACTTAATAAGAAAAAAGAGATTTAACTGCTAAGAGTTATTTATTGGTAAACATGAATTGTGAAAAAAAATGATCGGTATTTTTCATACATGCTGACAATCTGCAAAATGGAAATAGATGATTAAATACAACTTGGCTTTGATTTTCATGATGAATCTTGCTATAATAAAATAATAATAAAAAACCTAGGTTTATCCAATGAAGCGAATGAAAATATTCCACGTTTTTGATTATCAGATTATCAATTTGAAATGTTGTCCGAATTACAATAAAGATGTATTACATTACAATATGGAATGACCAAAAGAATGAGAGGGAGAAAGAGCGAGAGGGAGAGAGAGAGAGAGAGAGAGAGAGAGAGAGAGAGAGAGAGAGAGAGCGATATAGATAACTAAACAAATAGAGATAGAAATAGATAAAAATAGATAAGTATAAATCCATATAAATATATGGATAAAGAGATAGATGTGTACAGATGTATAAATATATGGATAGGGACAACAGAGGACACCACACGGTCTTCTGAACCTCGGCCTGAGTAAATCTATTGCGCTCTATCTATCTATATCTATATCTATAACAATATATATGCATAATTATATGGAAAGGTAAAAAGATAAGAATAGATGTATAAACATATAGAAAGATACATACATAGATAACTAGAGATATAAAAATATATGGAAAGATAGACATATAAGTAGAGACATATAAATATAGGGATAGAGAAATTGATAAGTAGAGATGTATAAATATATGAATGGATAGGGATAAAAGAGGCGGCCACAAGACCACGTCGTCGTTAGATTTATTGTGCTTTAGACATATAGAAATATATAGATAAGTAAGTAGAGAAATATATAGAGGTTAATAGAGATACATAAATATATGGATAGTGTTTAAATTTCCTTATGACTCACATTAGCCAGAGTACACGTACGTGGGTGTATCAGCGTATAAATGTTTTTGCGGGAAGGGTAGCAGGCCAGGGGCGACGGTAGGAATCGAACTCATGAACCGGCTACCGCAGTCCCCCGAGCCTATAAATTTAAAGTGTACATAGATCGCCTAGTTCAAGTATCTATTTATATTTACAAAGTTGAAACATCAAATGGTATCAGTAACCGTGAATGAAGGCGTTGAATACGAGAGTGTTTAGTGTTTGACCTTTTCAGGGGAGGGTCGGTATTAAAAAAAAAAAAAAATCATTGACTGCTTACTTTTCTCAAATCCTATGAATAATGCATGAAACGGTTCAAATATTCCTGCTGTTCCGGCCCGGCTGTTTTGTAAGATTGGCGGTTCAAAGGGGTTCCGCCTGTTTTCCAGATTCGCGCGGTTCACGCTTTAGATGAGGACAACTGAAAATATGGGCCTCCGCGGATTTTCACGAGGAACGTTTACAGAGGGAAACAATTTATCAGAAAGAGACTGATCTTTAAAAAAAAATACAAGCTTTTATCGTCTTACGTATTTGGTTTTAATCAAGATTGCAGGGCGTAAAAGAAAAAAAGTTTGGTGACCTTTGCTTTTAACGAGCCGTCCGCCGAGCATGCACATTTTAATAAGGTCCGTCCCTCGGTCTATCTAAATGGATCACCCTTGAACTTTAGCCTTGTCTGAAGAGAGTTCTGTCAAGATACCGATCGTTAACCGCTAATGATGCTTCAGCCGGTGTCCAAAAGGTTTTCTCCCTTCACTCACGTAAGAGGGAGGACGATTATCGCCGGTGGAGATTGTAAAATCGGTAAAACGCCCGCTGAAAGAAACTGGGCTCATCTGAGAGAAAGAGTGAGAGAAAGAGAGAGAGAGAGAGAGAGAGAGAGAGAGAGAGAGAGAGAGAGAGAA